TACACGAAGTATTGCTAAATTGTTGAGGTGTCGGGATGGAACAAGTGTGTCATACTGTGCAGTTCACAAGTAAGTGTTAAAGCGTAACCGAATGCGACCATACGAAGTGCACAAAGTGCAAGCTTTAGTCCCAGGCGATCACGCCCACCGTCGAGTTTTTTGCCGTTGGCTATTAGACCTGCAACAACGTGTACCTGGTTTCACTGAGTACGTCATCTGGACGGACGAGCCCACATTTACCAGAAACGGCCTATGGAACGGAAGAAATACTCACGAGTATTGCGAGGTTAATACGCACGCTATTCGACAAACCGGACACCAAACCCGATTATCAGTTAACGTAAGGGCAGGTTTATTTAAGGATCGCATACTAGGACCAGTATTTCTGCCACAGCGACTTAACGGACAGCGATACCTAAACTTTATAAACGAACAGTTGATTGACATTTTGGACGACTTATCGTTGGCTGAATATCGCCGCACATGGTTCCAGCATGATGGTGCACCATGTCGTGAGGTTCGTCCGTGAGCGCCTCACCGCTATTTCATGATCGCTGGATCGACAGACTAGGACCACACGCTTGGCCACCTCGCTCACCTGATCTCACGCCGTTAGACTTCTTTCTGTGGGGGCACGTGAAAGAAAGGGTTTTTAATCGTGAGTGTGATAGTGCTGACGAAATGCGCCAAAGGATCGTGGATAGTTTTGACAAATTACGTGTGGACTGTGTCGAAGACCCCACGATGATGTCCCGCCTGCATGAGGAGACGCAACACTGAGCCCAAATCTGCCTCGAAATGAATGGGGCACAATTTGAGCCGCATGTCATAAGGCTACGGAGGATTTAAATCGGTAAGCTGTTTAATACCTATTTTTTAATAATTTAGTTTTGATTTGATGTGAATATTAAACATAACTAAATTTATCAAAATAATAAACAGTGGTGTGTAGTGTAGGTAACACGATGTATAAAAAAGCAAAGTAAAGTTACAGCCTATATACGTCCCACTGCTGGGCACAGGCCTCCTCTAATTTCAGAGAGGGTTTTAGGGCAAGGAAATTTCCGCCGCGCTGCCCCAGTGCGTGTTGGCGAACTTCACATGTCTTCGAAATATTTTTTTTTCCTCAGACTTGCAGGTTTCCTCACGATGTTTTCCTTCACCGCCGAGCACGTGGTAAATCAGTACTTAAAATTGCAGTTAACAATTTCATTGGTGCCGGCGGGGATAAAAAAGCATGACTATCTTTATTTAAATTTCATTTTTTGGAACATTTCAGGAATTGTTCGGATTAATCCCAGCCGCCAAATTTCGTAAACCCGCTATCCGATATCATCCACACCATCTGGTGGTGGTCCACCACTGTACGTTTCAAAAGGAGTTTTCTTTCGCATTTTTCCGGACCGATACGACCTGGGGACCTTCAAGAAAAGAGCTTACTCCTTTCTAAAAGACCGGCAACGCACCTGCAATTCCCTTGGTCTTGCGGTTGATCATGGGCGGCGGTAGTCACTTAACATCAGGTGAGCCGCATGCTCGTTTGCCCCCTCTTCTATAAAAAAAATTTAGTAAATTTTTCTTTAGTGGGGAATCGAACCAGGTATTTGATTTATTTAACCTGCGAATTCGAATTAAAGTGGGTGGAGACTAGCACAGTGGCAAAACAGTAGATTAAGTGGATTAGTTAGGCATTTATACAAGTGTTGTAAATTATTAGGTACTGGTACGATGTGGACTGCGAGTCGGCGTTCGGCGTCGCGCGTTTATTGACCCTTTATCAGCTGATTTCGGGCATTGAATTTTCATTGCTGGTTTTATGTTTAGATATTTTCATGATTTTATTTATGAAATTATCGTTTCATTTAGCTGTACTAACGCGATAGAGCGTGTTTATTCACGCTATATCGCTAATTAAACGTTGTAAAAAAATGATTAGTTTTGCATCGGGATCGATTTTATTTGAGTCTCATCATCAAATGTATCCTTAAAACTATCGCCTGTCTTAGTTTTCGGGAGCGTTATAAAAATACGCTGTATATTTCTTTCGGAAACTTTTATAAAAAAAGGTTATGCGAACTTTCTAAGAACACATAAAACGCATAACAGACAGCGCAACCGGGCGCGGGTGGCACGTGCCTTGAAATGTTTGCAAAAATTGCAAAAAATGTAACAATAAAAAAAGTGTGAAAGTTTATAGATTTTAATAGTTTTGGAAAAAAATTAAACTGCAGTTCAACTTGAACGATTAACGTAAAAATTTTAGTATCAAATGTGTCAAAAGTACTTGGTTATACCTGAGACTAAATAAAATGTAAAATCAACATCGGTATTTCCTAAAAACAATTTTAATCACCTAAAAAAATTTCAAGGTAAAAATTTTAATTTACATGCTCTATTCCTATATGTTTTAGTTGTTGTTACTAGAATCTCATCAAGGGAAGACCGTTGTAAATCTATGTATCGGTCCGGAAAAATCGCCGGTGGTAAACTATTCCACAGAGAGGTTGTACTCGGAAGAAAACTCCTTTTGAAACGTACTGTGGTGGACCGCTAAGCATCCAGATGGTTTGGATGGTATCGGGACGTTTGCCGCGTAGTGCGTTCATGAAATTTGGCGGCTGGGATTAATCCGAACAATTCCTCAGAGCACTCCCCATGGTATATGCGAAATAAAATGCAAACAGATGCAACAACTCTTCGCAGTGCCAGTGAATCGAACCGATAGGAAAGCACTCGGTCGTCGACGATTCGAGCCGCTCTGCGCTTGATGCGGTCAAGTGGAAGGAGCTGGTACTGGGGAGCCCTAGCCCAGAGATGGGAAAAGTATTCCATGTGCGGCCTAACCTGCGCCTTGTAAAGTCGCAGGCGGTGTGCCGGCATGAAATACTGTCCCGCTCTATTGAGCACGCCAAGCTTTTTAGAGGCCAATTTGGCCTTCTCTTCCAAGACCTCCTCCTTCTCTTCTCTGACTACGAAACTGCACGTCACTCGAAATGTCAACGCCGAGGATTCGGATACTGGCTGAGGCAACAAGGGGAGTGCCTTGAAACTGAGGAGATACGACAAAGGGGTTCTTTTTAGCGGTTAACGCGCAAACTTGTGTCTTCTGAGGGTTAAACTGGACTAGATTTAGTCGCCTCCAATCCGAGACTCTGTTCAGCAAAGACTCGACTTCAGACACAAGTTTGTCCCGGTACTCGGAGACGTTTTCCCGAGAAATATTGGCTCGGCCGGTGTAAAGAGCATCACCAGTGCTGTCATCGGCATAGCAATGAATGTTACGGGTTTGCAACATATCATTGATATGCAGAAGAAACAGCGTTGGCGATAGCACGCAGCCCTATGGAACACCAGCATTAATAGGCTTGCAATCGGAGTTTGCACCGTCTACAACGACCTTGATGCTCCGATCTGCAAGAAAGCTGGTGATCCAATCGCACAATTTCTCGGGAAGCCCATAGGACAGGAGCTTTGAAAGAAGCGCTTTGTGCCAAACCCGCTTGAAGGCCTTCGCAATGTCCAAACTAACGGCCAATGCCTCCCCCTTGGACTCTACTGCCTCCGCCCATTTATGAGTTAGGTAGACCAGATGATCACCAGCTGACCTGACCTGACTGCTGACCACGGCGAAAACCGTATTGGTGGTCACTTATCAGCTGGTGATCCTCAAGGTACCTCATGAGCTGGCAGTTTACAATAGACTCCATTGTTTTGGAGAACAAGGAGGTGATGGCGATAGGCCGGTAGTTGGACGGGTCTGAGCGGTCGCCTTTTTTAGGGATTGGGTGGACGAAAGCCGTCTTCCATGATTTTGGGACTACGCCTAGGGAGTAGGAGTACCGGAAAAGACGCGTTAAAACCGATGCCAACTCTGGAGCACACGTCCTCAGCACAATTGGAGGGATTCCGTCAGGCCCACTCGACTTGTGGATGTCCAGGGAGAGGAGTGCTTTGCGAACCGAGCGCTGTGTGAACTGCACTTCCGGCATGGAGCACTCACACCGCGGGATGGTCGGCGGCGTACTCCCCCCGTCATCGAGAGTCGAGTTGGACGCAAAGAAAGAGCCTAGAAGATCGGCTTTCTCCTTTGCGGTATGGGCCAGTGAGTCGTCCTCCCTGTGCAGAGATGGAAGAGATGGCTGACAGAAATTCCCCTGGGCAGCCTTGGCGAGAGACCAGAATGCACGGGTTCCAGAAGGAAGGCGAACTAGTTTCTCGCCAATTCTGCCTATGTGCTCTGACTTTGCCTTGGCAATGACTCTTTTTCCTTGAACAAACAAATTTACTTGTAAAAATATGAAGTATGAAAAATTCGAAAAATTGTGATGATAAAACCTCAGTTTGGCATTACTTTCTCCGAGGAGAAGATGGTCAGTCAGGCAAATGCAATTTATGCCAAAAAATAATACGATCTGACGGCGGCACAACAACAGGTATTCGCGTTCATTTAAAATCGTCGCATACAATAGACGTTAGTAACGTTCGTTCAAAGTCTGACAATGAAGAAACTAATGACAGTAGCATAAACCGACCATCTACATCTGCTTCTCCAACCATTACGACCGCTGTGTCAAAATCAAAAAGCGAATATCGTTCAGCGTCCTCATCGATGGTAAAAAAGGAAATTGACTGATTATTTTCAAAGTAATCACTCCCTTGAAACAACCGTCAGTAGAATGGCAGCTTTGGACGGAATACCATACAGTGTGTTTTGTACTTCTGAGGATCTGCGAAGACTGTTTACAAATTCTGGCTACAATAAATTACCGAAGACTCCAAAAGGTATAAAAAATATAGTCATAAACTATAGTAAACAGGAAAAGAAAAAACTGGTGACTGAACTGAAAAATCTATTAGCCCTTGGTAAAAAGTTTTCTTTGAGTTTTGATGAGTGGACATCATCTCGTAACTATATATATATATAATATAAATATCAATATATTCACATAGAAGTTGAGTTCACAGATGGCTCACGTTTCAAAAATCTGGGTTTGGTGCGAATGGATGGTTCAATGCCATCTGAGACGTGTATCAGACTTTTGAAAGAAAAGCTTTCAGAATTTGAGCTTTCTTTAGATAGAGATATAGTCGCAATAGTCATTGATGGCGCCAGCGTCATGTTAAAAGTTGGAAGAAACCTGCGCGCTTGTCATCAAGTCTGCCTTGCACACGGTATTCAGCTAGCTGTATTTGACGTATTATACAAGCAAGGCGGCGCGGAAAATGTACGATCCCCTGATACTGCTGTTACTGCTGGTGGAAGTGAAAGTGACTCCGAATTCGAGAACGACGCAGATAGTGCTGAAGACGAAACCGGGGGATTTGAAGTAATACCGGTGGTGTCAAACCCAAACGAGCTTAATAATGACTATAAAAGTGTCATCAGTAAAGTACGTGCAGTAGTCAAAATTTTCAAAAATTCTCCAGTGAAGAATGACATGTTTCTACAGAAACATGTTAAACAGGATACGGGAAAAGAACTCCAGCTACTAGCCGATTGTAAGACTCGTTGGGGAAGCATCTCTACTATGGTGGATAGATTCAATAGAAACAGAAACTTTTTTTATTCAATGTAGATTAGAACAATACTTATTGAAAGTCACTTTTTTATTTACCACTGGTTCGCAAAAAACCTCTGTCTTGGGAAGAACCAGCAAGAAACCCAGCGGGACTATTTTCTTATCCAATAATAGCTTACAATTATGTTTACAATAAACAACACAAGACAAATTAGAAATAGCTTGGTAGCGATCACCCTTCCCAGGGGTTATTATCATCCATAAATTCCTTAATATTATAATAACCCTTTTTTATACAAACTTAGTTTAATAACATTTTTTAACTTCGTGTATGACAAATTTTGTATATTTTCTGGGATTTTGTTGTAAAAGCGTATACATCGCCCCAAGAATGAATTACTGACTCGGTGGAGTCGAGTAACTGGTACTACTAGCTTGTGTCTGTACCTAGTATTTACAGAATGAATATCACTTATTTTCGCAAAACTACTATTATTTTTGTGTACGTACATTACATTTTCATAAATGTATTGAGAGGCCAGAGTTAATATATTAATTTCCTTAAATTTTTGTCTCAGTGACTCTTTTGGTTTTAAATTATATATTGCTCTAATGGCCCTCTTCTGTAAAATAAATATAATTTCAGTGCCCTGAGGCACGCCCATTTGTACAATCGACCCGGAAGAACTCATACTATTAATGACAACTTTTTGCGTTCTGTCACTTAAATATGAAATAATTAATTTAAGAGCATCGCTTCTTACACCATAGGGTTGAAGTTTCCTGATTAACGTTTCATGGTGAACACAATCGAAGGCTTTGGATATGTCACAGAATACACCCAAAGCATCCTGTGAATTCTCCCATGCATCAAATATATATTTAATCAGCTCAACACCAGCATCAGTTATCGAGCGACCCCTTGTGAAACCAAATTGATTTTTATGAAGTAAATTATTTACATTAAAAAAATTTAACATTTGATCAAGAATAATTTTTTCAAAATTTTTACTAAGTGTTGGCAGTACAGAAATAGGTCTAAAATTAGTGGGGTCCAATGTACTACCAGATTTAAATAAAGGTATTACATGATTAAAACTACTTTTACGGGGGACCATCGTCCCCCGTGACCATGGGTGCTGGAAAGCGCCCGAAACGTCGGGAATCAAAAATAAAAGTAAATAAAAAGTAAAAATAAACGCGATAAAATCCGTAAAAGTAGTTTTAATCATGTATAGTGTTCGCGTAAATATAAGAAATCATTAAAGGTAATACTTTACTATGCTTCATTAAATCAGGAAACACACCAGATTCAATACTAGTATTAAAAATAATAGATAGTTGAGGTACGATCGCATCTATTATAGACGCAATAACTTTAACAGAAATCCCCCACAAATCGGCGGTTCTCTTAATATTTTACAATATCTTTTGATGACACTTTATGAAATGTAAAATTCTTTGTACACACATTTACATTTTGTTAAAATAGGTTAAGATCATGTGTATCCAAAGCACTGATTGACATGAACTCTGATATCAAGTTCACACAGAGCGAGTTTCATACTTGGACAATTTCCAGAAAAGTCTGAATATTATCAAAGTGACAGTCGAAGAACTGTGCCGGCGTGTCTCTCTATTAAATTATAAGTGTCGGTCTATTAACTGCTGATGCGGCTATGAAATTTATGCTACGTAAATTAGATAGTCAAAATTCTACACTGTCAAGACTTCTCGCAAGATCATTGCGCGTGCGCATTTCCTAAAGACGACTTTCTATTGCATCTACTTTGCAGTATCTCCAAAATCTTGAAACATATTTCAGTGAAGTTGCTACCGCCGAGTTCCCAAAAACCCCAGAAATGGTGGAGGAAATTTATTCACTAAATCAAAATTTTGAAGGTGAACCTGTGGTTAGGGTTATGGATGATTTGGCCTTGGATAATAGCGCCAGCAGCGTGAGTGGAGATTTAGAAAGCGTTGATTTTGCTAAAGAACTAAATAAAGAAATAGAAAAATCATTGAAGTAGAAAAATACAAATATGCGAAATAGAAATGAAACAGAAGATGAAGCTAACAGAGATGGTGGTTATGGTGAAAATGATAAGCATAAGTTAATTCAAATTGAAATGGCATTGTTTGAAAATGGTGGCAACGGCGGGTTCTATTTAGACATGGCGTACATTTACTGACGATACCCCCCACGAGTGTAGAGTCTGAAAGAGCGTTCTCGTCTGGGGCATATACGTGCAACAAAATAAGATCGTCTCTCAAAGACTACCTTGGATGCCCTCTGCTACTTACGTTCCATATTTCAGCAATCGCGATCTCGTGAATTGCCGTAGGCTTCGTTTTTGAAGCCATATGTTGTAAGATGACTATATAGTCACCCCACCAATTTAATATCCAGTTATTTGCGTTTAATGTAATATTTACTTATATGTTATGTTACTCAATTACTTATTTTAACTTGTATTGATTTTTTAATTTTCTGACATAGCAGAGTATGTTAAGAAATTGTTTATTTTTGTATTTCATACTTTTTAAATTCTAATTATTATTTATTTATTTATTTATTTAAAAACTTAAACGTAACACCTTAAACTAAAGGGGTACATAGGGCGGACTTAATGCCATGTGGCATTCTCTGCCAGTCAACCCTGGGTGCCAAGGACAATTGTTGGCAGGTGCGACCATTATACGTAAATAATTACATTAAAATATATACATACATTAAAATATACATATATGCAAAGTACATACATACACATTACATTTAACTATATATACACGTATAGTATAAATATACATAAAATAAAAAATACATACATATATATATATATATATATATATATATATATATATAATATATATACATGCTTATAAACTTCGTAAATAAATATACAAGTGAATGATATATATAATATGATGTTTGAATAATATATAATGAAATAAATATCTGAAGTAAAAAAGAAGAAATAAAGACAAAAATTAAGAAAAATAATGTTAATTAGTAGTTTCCTTCAGGTAGTGTTCTCGGAGAAGAACTTTGAAGACTTTTTTATTTGCGGCATTCTTAATATCGTTGGGGAGGGTGTTCCAAAGTTGTATAGCTTGTATCGTAAAAGACGACCTAATAAAATTTGACTTATGCTGTGGAAACCTTAACCTCAGACGACTTGACTGTCGGGATGTTCGACCGTCGATCGGATGAAAAAAATGAAAATTATCCTTAAGATAAGAGGGCGACCTTGGATCGTTTAAAATTGAATAAAGTACAAGTAAAATTCTAGAGCATCGCCTTTGACGTATAGGTAGCCATTTAAGCTTTGAACGATAGGATGATATGTGGTCATACTTACGTAAACCAAAAATAAATCTTATGGAATTATTAAGAAGGCGCTCCAACTTGTTTAGAAGATTTTCTGATAGATCTGGGTAACATACATCGGCATAGTCGATAATAGGTAGAATAAGGGAATGAACCAGCGTAAGTTTGGTTTTGAAAGGTAGGAAATTTTTAAGACGATAAAGGGAACGCAAGGTAGCAACAACTTTACGACTAACTTCAGAGATCTGCAATTTCCAGGTCATAGTTTTATCCATGTACAGGCCAAGATTTTTTATGGAATCACAATATGGAATCAAAATTCCATTATAAATTACAAGAGAGAGATTTCCATAATCAACCTTAGCCAATAATTGCGAACTTCCGAATATGATAACTTTGCATTTGGCAGGATTAACAGAAACGCCATATTTACATGACCATTCTCTTATGGCTTCCAGGTTATCATTTAGTTTGTGTATTACAAAGTTAAGATTATTTAAGCTTGACTGTACATAAAGCTGGAGATCATCCGCATACAGATGGTACGAACAATCTAAAACTGAGGAAATAGAATTTATAAATAAGGAAAACATAATAGGAGAAAGTATTCCGCCTTGCGGCACACCAGATTCAATTTCTGCCCATGCAGAAAACCGCTGACCTGAGCGAACCGATTGCTGGCGACCGCGAATATAAGAAGAAAACCATTCCAAGGCTGGGGATGAAAATTTAAGATTTTTAAGGATGGATAGGAGGATACCATGATCCACTGTGTTGAAAGCGTTTGAAAAGTCAATAAGCACCACCACTGTTAATTTTTGCTCATCTAAGCCCTTTCTGATATCGTCTGTGACTTTGATAAGCGAAGTGGTAGTACTGTGACCTGAGCGAAACCCCGATTGAAATTCATTCAGCAGGTTATGTTTTGCAGCGAATACAGATATTTGCTTAAAAACACAGGCTTCCAGAACTTTAGAGAGGTATGGGAGAATTGAAATAGGACGTAAATGGTTAGGGAAAACAGGATTAGGTATTTTAGGAAGAGGTCTTACAAAAGCCTTTTTCCATGCAGAAGGGTATTGACCTGAGTCCAGAGAATAATTTATAATGTGTGTTATAGCTGGAATAAGGTACTCAAGAATCATAGACACCATTTGCTTACTAATTTCATCAAAACCCACAGCCTTGGATTTAATGGCTAACAGAGCTTTTTTAATTTCATCCTGAGTAACAGGGGAGAAACAAAAGTCAGGGATCCGGAGAGGCTGCATTGATTCTATAGAAGCAATAGTTTGAGAACGGACTTGAGGGTCCAATGAAGTAATAGAAACAAAGTGACGATTAATGTCATCCAAATTGAGAGAGGCGCCATATTCCGGAGAATTAGATTTATTAATTCCGATAGACTTCAGGAATTTCCACAGATCAGTGGGCGAAGAATTAGTTATTTTATCATGAATGTAGCGGCGTGTATTATATAAGATTGCAATAATAAAAGTCGTTGATTTACTTTTTATTAGTGTCTTATTTCTAATTTGGACTCTAACAACGTTTAATTTAAACAAATTTGATCTCTTTTTTTTAGCCATAATATCGGAAAAATATCGAAATACCGGAATATCGGTATTTAAAATTTAATATCGAAACAAAACCGGTATTGGAAAAAAATTCCGATAGTCCATGCTAGACTCGTACAAGCCGAAGCCCTCTAAGATGGTTTACCTGCTATCATCGTGTGATGAAGACTTTTTCATCAACCCAATAACTGGTAAGCCTGAAATTATAATGTATTATAATCAGACCAAAAGCGGGGTTAACACTTTCGATCAAATGTGTTCCTCAATGTCATGTTTGAGGAAAACCAATAGATGGCCAATGTTTATGTTTTATAGCATTCTAAACATAGTGTAACGCTCCCCCCCTCTCATAATAATAAATATATTAAATACTAAATGTATTATATTCCCCTTTACATAATAATTATATATATTTGTGACCAAGATTAATAAAATATGTTTTGATCTTTCTAAATGATCTTTCTAAAGGTTTAATAATAGGCCGTTTGTAATATTTTTGGCGTGATCGTCTTAGTTAGGACACTTACTTACGTTGTGTTTGTTTAGTAACTTAGTTCTTTTAGGTGTCTTTTGGAAGAATGAATATTCACTAGAGCAATTGAAAGCTGTTGGTAGTGCCTTATAAGCTAAGTGAACCCCGTTCACGAAGACAGGGCTCAAGAAAGTTTAAGAACATAAAACGTCCCTATTCCACTTGTATCAGGTTTACATTATTAATTATCCCTTCCCGCTCGGAAAAGGCTCAAAATATATTTATACAAAATACCCGATACAAGGGCTTCGCTCTCCTACATTCATTTAAAAAAATGTAGGGGAGACACACGGTTCCACACACGCCGTGCACGGTGAGCGCCAACCATTTTGATGCACTCCCCCCGAAGGGAACGCTAATTCGGGAACTGGACCGTAGTCCACAGCAAAATAACTGGCGAACCAGTAAAAGAGGCTTGGCCCCTTGTTAGTGCGTAAGCACAAACATCGACCGAAGTCGCGCATGTCAGTGCGTGTAAACGCCAAACAGAATACGAACGAATCCAGCCACAGTGAATGTACGTCACACGGTTTAGGCAAATAGGCACACTGGCCGTAAACCCTCTGTGAGCGCCACCACCTGCCAGACCGCCGCTCCTGCAGACGTGATGTAAGTGTATGGCATCACCACCAATAGCATGATTAGCACGGCTACTAGCCGCAGAGCGTGTCATGAGTACCGCTCACCTCAAGGGAATGGGGTCCCAAGTTGTGCGGCTTTCGGCCGCAGCCTTGAGAGTCTCCTCAGATCCTCCCGCCAGCTACCACCCGCATGAGGTCGACACATATGCTCCACCAACCAATACAACGGCAGATATAGCCAAAAGGCAGTTATAAGATAAGAGTAATAATTCGCCATCAGAAAAGGTTTGTGTCACTGACGTTGAGTAAATGCATTTTCGATCATGTTTATCTCACCCACCAACAAGTTGCCTTCAATCTTTCAAAGGTGGTAAAGTTACAGAGATATTATATTATGTTGTTATATAAAACGTCGTGGAGGGCAGACAGTCTGCAGCCCCGTAATAGAGGGACCCGACTTGGGCAAAGCTACTCAGGCGTGAGTCAAACCAAGACGCAGAGAGCGCCATTGAGAATAGCGTCCCACCAAACAACCATCGCAGAGACGCAATGCTGCAGAACGCAACAAGCATCAATACGATTATCGTCGGGATTACACCATCCCAAGGTCCCCCATACATCCCAGCAGACATCACCACCCGCATACCTCCATCGACCAGAACCACAAGAGTGCGTCGAATCAGGCGCAGCACACCCGCAGATCCATCACAAGACGCAATACCGCAAGTAGCAGTAAGCATCAATGCAACTATCATACGGATGGTGCCCCCTCACAACACACCCACATGACGCCTATCGATTTTGGTAACAAAGTTTTTATTGTTGTTATATAAAAAATATCACCAACGTATCATAGTAGCACGCTACTAAGACGCCAATGAACAAAACTCCACGTATCATAGCGCTGATGCACTAAGACATGAAGTTGAGTATGCCT